CCGAATCCTCCCGTCGTGGTTCCTCCGCCAAAGGCGCTGGTTGTACCTGTGCCGCCGCCGAACGCGCTCGTGGATCCAAACGGACTGGGGCTAGCAGCCGGCTTGGCACCGAACGGAGTGCTGGCTCCGAACGCTGACGTGCCAGAAGATCCGAAGCCGCCAGTGGTCGCACCTCCGCCAAATGTCGACGTACTTCTAAACCCCGAGGTTGTCGCGGGGTTGGCCGCTGCGCCAAAGCCCGTGGAAGGGGCCGCTGTGGATCCAAAGCCACCGAAGCCCGTCGTGGTCGTCTGCTGCGTGCCAAAGCCGCCTCCTGTAGCCGGTGCTGCGGCTCCAAAGCCTCCAAAGGCCGGCTTGGCCGCTCCAGCTCCGAACGTCGATGTACCGGAGCCAAATCCACCGGTCGTCGTGCCGCCTCCGAACGGAGAAGCGGCTGCGGAGCTACCGAATCCGCCGCTAGTGCCGCCAGAGCCGAAGGCCCCGAAGCCGCCGCTCGCGGGTGCGCTGGTGCTGCCAAACCCGCCGAACGACATGCAGAATGAAAGTCCCTGCCTTGCTGTCGCTTATGAACTGACAGAGTGGGGCAGGCCACGCTCTATTCGTGGGTGCAAGCGAGTGCGGAGTGAATGCGCGCGCTTCCTAGACCTGCCGATTGTTTTCTGCGTTTGGGTTGGTGGTGGCCCCATAGAATCAAGGTAAGTACGAAAAGGTGTGGTGCACACCACACTACCTAAACGCTTGGTAGTGAAGTATTGCTATGAACAGCCTCGTTATAATAGCAGACAGACAGCCCTATAACCCTAACGGAAATCGAGCAGCACGAGATGCATCTTCTTGAGGTCGCGCCGGATCACAACCTTGCCAGGCACGAGCTGTGAGAACTTAGCATTGTCAAAATTGCTCGGCACTTTCAAGACGATACACTTGGCGCTCCCATGTAGCCGCGTGCAGATCTCATGCAGTGGCAAGCCTCCGAGGAAGAGATCCACCTTGTCGAGATCCTTGTATTCTGGTCCTCCCCATGGCGGATCTAGGAACACCACGTCCTGCTTCAGCTCCAGCATTACGTCGAGGTAGTTCGCATGGATGCAGTTGGCGTTCGTCTTCTGGAGGACGTGCAGATTATGTCGCAGCATTTCTACACGTGTCGAATCGTTTTCAACGGCATTTACATGCGTGAAGAAGTCACAAAAAGATAGCACGTTGCCTCCAACGCACGCAGTACCATCCGTCACTACCAGTGGATACTTTTTGCGCTCTTCGGTGGTCGTAGTACCATCGTCGCGATCCTCGTTATCGCACTCCGACGTCATGTCATCCCTGGTCGGGACAAATAGCTCCAAAACGAACTGAGAAATTTTCGTGGCCATCTCGAAGTCCGTCACGCTGAACTCAGCGACCTCATCAACCCGCAACTGGCTCCGGAGCTCGTAGTCCAAGTTGCGGAAGAAAAAATCGCGCTTATCACCGCATTTCCTTGGCCGAGGCGACCCGTAAGAGTCCGATCCAGAGCACGGCGATCGGGGTGAGTTTATTCTCGAGGAGGAACGCCGGTTGGCACGGTTGCCCTGATGTGCATGCCTGCGTGGACTTGACTCCACGTTCTCATTGTAGTAATACTTTTTCGCGCCTCCATGATGTGTACTCATGGACGAAGTACTCTTCGTTTTCCTCATAGTTGAGTTTGATGAATGCATTGCGCCGGTTAGGTTATGGTTCTGCGAATTCCCGTGTGTTTGTCTCCCGTTATTCATTGCAACCGCGTCGTCCACGTGTAATTTATCGGCTAGCCTCTGTAGGCTGCTGCGTCGTGCAAACATGACTTCTCCAAGCATAGACGGGTGTGGGACTCCATTTACCATTTCCAGTTTTGTCTCCGCTCGCTGTGACGGAGTCTTGTGCCGTCTCTTCATTTGCTGTCTCCTCTTCCTCCTCACTACGTCAGCTGCTTCCATCTCGTCTTGGCTCAACGAGCGACCAGCGCTCACTGCAGCGGACACCGATGCTCCATTCAGTGAATGGTTCGATCCAAGAGAAGGTGGGCTCGGAGGCAAAGGGAGAAATACGCTGGTGATCGCGTTCGCTGTCCGGCGGTCGTTGCGCGTCCGGCGGCCATGGGCCACCACGGTCTTCCACTCGCCCTCCTCCACAATCACGTGATCGTTTGGCTTCGGACCCTTAGCTAGCTCCTCCTCACGTTTCTTCTTTTCCTCTTGCATCTGCTGCATCTGCCGTGCACGTTGCATCTGCCGCTCTCTGTGCAGCCGCTTGGCCTCCAGCTCAGCCTGATGCTTCGTTGCGAATCCGCTCGCCGGCCGCCACAAGCGCTCGTTGTCCAAGCTGCTGCTACGCTGGCGGCCGCTGGGACCCAGGTGCGTCGCTGATGCCACGATCGCTCGAGTTGCCGCAGCCATCGGCCTAGACGACGGGTGCGACGGAGGCTCGTCCGGGTCCTGCACTTCCATCAACCAGCTGAGATTTGAAACGGCGGACCTCCTCAACTGAGCTTGAATAAGAGCTT